GGGGGGGGGGACATGGGTTATGTCATATCATTTCACGCTGTATATGATTAAAGCCACAAGTGCTGATATCTATGGGTGGATCGATATCCGTGTATCCATTGAATCGTCTCAAATGGGTCGAGATCAAGTGGTTTGCTAAAGAGTGAAAATGCAATGATCTGTGGGGCGATGATCAAAGGTGATCTAAACAACTGCGACATCCATTAGAAAACGGGATAGGGGGCAAACGAAGGGAGGGTATTGGTAAAAAAAACTGAGCGAATGTTGAATTAACTGGCGTGTGGATTTTTTTCAAACTGGTTGATCTTTACAATATATGTGTATATAATCGGATCGGTATATAAGAGAACAATCAGTGGCTCCGCGATTATCTTTTCGCGTAAACGAACATCATCTGTGCTGACTGAATCAAGGTGATTACGGATCGAGCTCAATTGTGATTCTCGCCTACTTGGTAGACACTGGTCATCGTTTTTATCACAAGTATAACCTACTAGGTTCTTCCGAACCGGTCCAAATATGTTAGAATGCCTGTGTTAGCCATTGCCGAAGTGACTTGAGTCTTCAAACTATGTGCCAAGAAGCGTCTAATCCAAGCTGTCCATCTCCTCTGAGTTCATAGACCCAACTATCCCTCTGACCACGCAACGGTACCGATCCGTCAGAGCTGCATCTCCCAACCAAAGTGACAGAACTGAAAATCCCGGAAGCACCGAACTGAGAATATAGCACAGACACACATTTTCAGAGTGACAACCTTTTTGGTGACGTGCGTACTCTACATACCCCAGTCAGCATAGTCTACAAAAGTCGATCACCTGTTCCAGTGGACCACTGCGACTGCCTAGAAATCTGCCTCCAAATCTCAGCATTACCCGTCCGGTTTCACCACCAGACTAGCTGGAAGGTAACTGCAATCAGAAAGCTCATTACAAATGTATATCCATCAAACGAAAATTGCCTCACCTGCTGTCCTGCTTCTGCAGTTGCACTCACATACACGAAATGGTCGGGTCAGTTACACTCGGTGCACAGTTTGCTTTCTTCGTCCGCGATCCAATCTAACACATAACCGGGTGCTTTCTTGGCCACTCCCCAAGCAACATTCATCCCTCATATTCATACTATTACTACTATCTGTCCAGATCTCGCCTGGATTACATTCACATTTAAACTCTACTTTCGAAAAGATTCGACGATTGTGTTTCTGTATTGTCCCCCACGGTGAACTTTGACAGTTCCACTGAATTCACTCACCCAGATTGTATATTTGTTGTGTTGTTACTCATCTTCTCCACTGTTCCCCAGTTTTATTTACCGGCCTTGGAGCTAAAGACTGCGCAATTCTATGTCAGTCCATTAAAATTATTTCATGCCCAAGCGGTATTCCCCAATTGCTCTTGCTTGAATTTATCGCAGACAAACAGTTTACCTCTTGTGAAAAGTTCCGCAACAATATTTCTATCAGATCTCACTCACCCATTACACACATAGAACTTAAGCAATGCGTATCCACTTCTACAATTCGGTTTCGTTATAAACTTGTGAGTACTCGTACCACCGTTTATCCGTAATCCCATATCTTTCGAGGATTTTGGCACAAAAGGCATTCGTCATGTTACTCTTAAATTTAAGATTCTGTATTTTTGCTGTTTCAATGTGACTGAATGAGATGATAAATGATCCCGGTGTGCAAAAAGCTGAGAATCTATCTATTTAGGATGAATAAAGCGATTTTTGACTTGACTTGATTTGTCATAGGTTATCAGTTTGTTACCCTGCTGATCAACATGTGCATCACCGGGACACTGAGTCACGTGAGTACTGTTAGACTACCTGGGTGGGGACCCCGAGGTCACGGTAACCGGCGGTTAGAGACACTGAGTGATATGATTGAGCATCGTGAGCGATTGTGCTCGTGCATCTACTCAATGCTACACCAGTCTGAATAAATTCTATAACTTCCCCCTGAATTTGCTCTCAACATACCAGTCCTCTTTCTGTTCTTTTACCAAAATGAGAAGCCAAAAAACAGCAACCTAAATCGGCGCACGAAAGTGCACCATTGATGGTTGTAAAAGCTGAACTGAACTGAACCGTGCAAAGAACATGATTGAGTCAAAGTACGAACTTACAAAGTCGGTCCAACCGAAAGGTCCGTTTTGTGGGTTTCCTTACCTTGTAGAGAAGGATCGGATAGCATTAATTACCATTAATTTCCACACAAAAAATCCTCATCCTTCTGTCCCCTCCCAACCACCTTTTTTGGAAACAGCCAATCAAAGTTCGAGTTCAAACGAGGTGAACCGCTTAATGGCTATCATCGAACCTGGGAGGGAACGAGCAAAACCTGTTTTCAGGCGAATTCGAGAATTGATTGGACTTTTGATACAAAAAACCCACATACTTTCACTTTTCCTCCCCAGACTATCCTCTCAGATGGTCGGTCACATAGTGACACCTGCGGAATCGAATGCGTCATTTTTCACACTGATTAGCATTTTTGAACAGTATCACACGTATCACATATCCTGTTTCACATGTAGTATCACCCATGTGACTCGAACTCTCAATCATATGATAGAGAATAAGCTAAAAATAGTGCGGTGGATAACGATTGAGGTATGCTTTTCTATTCCATTCATTGCTCACTATTCATATTCAAATACAGAAGCACGAACCACGAAGTGTCTATCTATGGGCATTGCGAACTGGATGCAAAGAAAAACTAGGCAAGTCTATCGAATTGGGCTAGGCTAGGCTGGGCTGGGCTGGGCTGGAACGGAAAACACACCAGTTTTTTTAAGTATTTTTGCGTACATATTGTATCAACACGCGGGTGCGGTAAAAGCACGAGGCCACCACACTAGGGTAGGACGCATTCGAACGGACCATATTTGACGGTGGGATATTTACCACAAGAGTGTTGTATTTAGTCTAGTTTGCAAATACTCGACGAAATACACGGGTTGATATATGTTTAACTCAGGGATGAGAACCATGATCTGGTGTTGCTCGCTAGTCTAAAAAGAATGTCTAAGATCATCTCACTCGAGTAAACAACCACTGAACGCGTATCGATTGTATGTATGTTGTTTAATTCGTCTTTGTGGCTGTTACTAGAAGCTGTGCGCACATATAAATTACGAAACCTACCGTCTGAATCGTTTACAGAAGCGCAAATTTTTAAACTGAGCAACCGCTCGTTTGTGAAAACTCACAGCTAAAGGCGATCGTTTATCTGTAAGATAATTCTTTGTATTTCAAAAGATAAATAACATACGGCTATGCTGAACGATAAACGTGAATGCAAAATGGATTCGAAACGACTCAAAATTGAGAAAAAAAAACATAAGTATACAGGATTGCACTGTTGTTTGTCATCAGTTGATCGATAACTTTTGAAATGAGTGATTCTTCAAAAATGGACTACACATAGCTGATAAAAATGAACATTTATGTATTTACATGTAGAGAGATATGTATATAAATAAAGATAGAGGGAGATAGAGAGAAAGAGCACTGAAAATTATCAAGGATCTTTTACGTTTTTATAGGATATACTGGGAAATCCTTTCTCAACCGTGGCAATATTTCTTCGACGTGGATGCGTTGTGCGCAGTCTCCGCAAATAGACCAAATACCATCGAAGACACATATAGAACAACAATGTTGCGACGATAGCTGTCACACAGACGGTACGTTGAATGTCTAACCGCCCCAGAAACGTTCTTTCTGTCACGTGAATACGAATGATGATGCTCTGGAAGGAAAGAGATTGAGCGATGAAACTCGATGAAACTCTTCATATTAGCGGTGTGTTGTACTACTAAGTTAAACTTTCAATCGACATTGTACAAAGAGGCAGCTTAAAAAAATCTATTTTGGGCGAATTTTACACTCTGAGTAGCAAGTGCGAATGGATTGGGCACATTGGGCGTTTGACCCCGTCCAAAGAGTGCATGATCCGATGAACTGCACACCAGCCTCCAATGGATTGCGGTTTTCACACACCGACCAGCTGCCTTGCTAGTCCAGCTTTGGCCAGCCGAGGGCTCCGGTTGTGGACTTCTCAAGGAAATTCACCCGCCTTGGCCTGGGTAAGCAGGCAGTGTCAAGCCCACATGAAAATCATGGAACCTTTTCCATTTTTATGAAGGTTATTGTACCATGATTTGTTTAGTACAGTCTGGCATCGGATGTATGTGAAATATATATATATATATATATATATATATTTGGCAAACAAGCTCGTTTTCG